TTTTAAAACCGAAAGATACCCTTCCTTTAAGTATAAAATTTAAAGAAGGCGTTATTTGCTGCCAAATGAGTACAAGCAATAATTTTTCGTCCACTTTTTCCATAGAATATATTTGAATTTATATAGGCAGTCAAAATCAATGATAATAATGCATACTATATAAGTAGTTACTTTTTACAGTGCATTAGTTTTTTAATAGGTCACAACGAAGCTCTTGTAAATTCCCATATACTATCATGACTGAAATAACTTCAGAATAGACTACACGATAATCAGTATCACAATCTGAGTCAATGCCGATTGGCGAAAGAGTATTGATATTTTGCATATATCGGCATGTTGCACGAAATCTGCGCGTACTGTATATAAAGATACTCATGGTAAAGGAAAAGGTCATTTGTGTGTCCAAACATATACTTTTGCGACCCGTGAACTTATCGCCCGAAAGCAGAAAGTTAAAAATAAATTGAAAAGTACAGTCTGCTTATTTTTCATGAGATAGCACGTCCGCTGTATAGGCAGAAGTAAATCCTAAGCTTGACAACGAGGACCCCGATCGCCAGCGCTGGCTTATGAGCCATTAGGCTGAGAGGACCTGAACGCTGAACCAGTATTCACTGATCGTAGGACTTTTTAAGTCATCAGCCGGTGGTCCTCTATCCTGTCGGTTGCGGTCTGAACAGTTGAATGATCATGTCCCATAACTTGATTGATAAACACTTTATAAACTAGGGCTTACATTTTCGATTGTAACATCCAAGAAAGTGGATGAAACACGAAAGAATTCCGATTCATATCCCAGGTGGATTAAGCCTGTGTGTGGTTAAGGCCATCTGGTGATGACTTATAAGTCAGAAACGGTCATTTCAGTCTCTTTTGCCTTAGCTGGTCCCCGTTTAAGCATGTGTTAATTACTTAGGAAATCCTGCCTGGCAGCCAACTTATTGCATCCGTATTGATGGCCTCCATACGTGCAGTAAAGCTGGGCAAGCAAATCGACCCAAATGTGATTAAACTCCCGGCGCACAGTGAGCCTCGTAGCTTTTTTGTAGAGCGTTGGCTGCACAGGGGCCTTCCCTGCTGTGTGGGTTCGACTCCCACGGACGCCGTAAATCAAATATATTTAAAATATCGGCATCCAAAGGGAAAGAATTTCTAAAAAGTGAAGTTATTCGTGAAGGAATAGTGTTTATTGGGTACATTTTAGAGTCTGGTCCTCCAGTTTGTCCTCAGACCAAGGCGAGATGTACGAAACCAGTTAAACGATCCCTATATATAAAGGCAATTATCAAAGGGAGCAAGGCAATTTCCTTGTCCGAATATATACTTCTCTGACGCTTGAACTCCTCCCCCAAGTCGAAAGTTAAAACTAAGCCGAAAAGTACAACTAAATGTTGGCAATGACCTTCAGTGACGCTTCTAAGTGGTTATCGTTTAAGAGAGCAGGCTAGTGACAGCGCAATATATTTCCCGTCCAATTTGTCTTTTTCGTGCCGCGCTGCAGTCACTTTTCTTTGTCCAAAATTCTGCGAGGTCTACAGCGAAGTGCATGGCCACCAGGGATAATTTGTCACTTTATCCAGCGCTAAGGTCATGTTCGGGCTCCTTTTTCTTGACTTTTTAGTCGGTCTAATCAAAAACAAGTGCCTTTTTGAGGACAGGAACGAAGGGGGTGAATTCCGAAAAGCAGTCACGAGAACGCAGACAAAATATTTGAATTTCGTTTTCACCTTAGAACCAATCATCGGATAGAAAATCAGAAAAGGGCAGTGGATTGCACAGATGTTGCAAAATTTATAAGTTGTACTTTCTATATCGCAACATATTTATCCAACTTTTCAGTTTCCGCATTCGCTGCAGATAGTTGCAAGTGACATGATACTTGTTTCAGTATCTCAGTTATGCAGTATGGCCTTGTCATACCAACTTTTATCCTGACAATCAAAGCCGATGTTTTGCTAACTGGCTTATCCTTTTTTGCTCATCGCTACTCAAACTCACCTTTCGTGGATTAGTTTGGCAGGTTCTGGTGAAAGATTCAAAGCACTGGCTTGCACTATTCTTAGACATTCTAGTCTGTAGAAAGGTCGCTGAGGAACTTAAGGAAAACAGTCTATAGGAAGGCTCATTAACTTTCGAAGAAGGCCCTTTGTTTCATGTGGACGCGGCTGCATGTGAATGCTTGACCGTCTTGTTGAAAGGCATTGCAGTGAGCTAGGCAACAAAAAGACGGCAAGACCACGCCGCTGCGCACGTCCTTACCACGGACATATGCACCGGAAGTTTCGCAGCAAATTACTGGAAAAAATCCCCCAGGAAATAAATCTCGCATTGCGATATATAGTCCTCATTTACCGGAAGCACTCCTTACAATTATGAACGAACTCCAGACTGGTGTAACAGACAGACCGGAAATAATAATGCATCAACAGGAAATGCTTAAGAAGCATCTAATTATGCCCAGGCTGTAAGTTGGCATGGTCTGTCGCATTTTATGCAATTGAGGCAACGTCAATTGTGTTAGCAAAGCCGTTGAACAAGCCTGAGTGGGATTGAATGAAAGTGAAAGTATTTTCCACTTGGCTGCCTCCTAATCTTCCCAGCGAACCAATTTGCGTTTTCATTATCTTGGTGATCGGAAGACTGCAATTCAGTCTTCGTCAAAGTAGGGAATGTTGTTTAGATCTAGTGGTTTTGATAGAATTCCATTTGCAAGAGACACGATGATTACTTGAGAATAAGAAGCTGTGTTGATCACCGGAATCATAGATTTATTAGTCTGAGCCTTCGAACTCCTACAGGAGTCCATCGTCAGAGATAGGAAACAGCAACTAATGGGAGGCTAGTTATGGCGTGTATACA